AGCCCAAGGTTCGCTGCCTCACCATCCTGCTTCAGGCCAGTGTAGCGAAGCAATCATGTAGGTTATCTTTCAGCGCACCGGCCTTGATAGAGCATGCTGTAAATGGGGTGCGATGGCATGTCCTGAACTTGTAGTTCCACTGCTTGCGGAATCTCTTATCGAACCAGGAAGCCCAACCAAGATAATCAACGAAGGGCCCAGAGAAACCCGGGCCTATAACTCGACGCTCCAAATCAGCAACGCAGTCCTTCTCCACGCCACAAACGTGCTTCCAAACGAAGGAGGATTCACGTAGTTCGACGAGCTTCCCGTAGCCAACGTAGAGCCTCTCCTTGTGCCCCTTTGTAAGGGCCGGATCACTCTGCCATCGAGCGGGCCCCTTGAGCGCGTAGTGATAGTATGCTTGTCCCAGTATGGACTTCCAAGTTTCACCCTCTCTCCTTTCCGCGAAGTGAATAACAGGCGCGTATTGAACGATGCCCTTTATAATCTGGTCCATTAGCAGCTTCTGGACCACGACTCGAAGGGAAGGCTTGTTGGATGTAACCGCGTAATCCAGCAACGAAAGGAGATGCTGGTGTTTCGAGTATTTCTGCCGTTTCATTATGTTGAGGAGTACACCATGGGCCCACCCCTCGGTTTGATTGAACTTGTACTGGTGGGTGATAGATGCTATCTCGACGAGGCGATCAACGTCTGCGTTTCGTGTGTCGGAGGAGAGATCCGCAATTTCGGTCGGTCTAGGCAACTTGTGTTAAGTGATGAATCGAAATATATAATGGCGGCTCGGCTTACAGCGCGTATAGGATCCAGAGCAATGCCCAGAACCTGTCCACAGATACATCGAGAAGCACAAGGGGGTTTTGGTCGCTCCCTCCGGCGTGTTTACCAGCACCGAGCGGTATGGGGGCCAAGATCGCCCCGAAAGTCGAGGATTCCCGTGTCAGTATCCCTCGGTGTACCTGGATGTATCGCAAATGAAGGTCATTATAACCGTCCCAACTTCTAAATTGGTATTTAACACTGTAAACACACCTTGAAGAGGGTCTCCTCAACCCGGATGATGATATTTCCATCTGGAAAGTAGTAGTCGGGGTCTCTCTGGATCTCTGGTAGAGCCTGTGGGGCACCTTGTTCCATGAAGAGTGCGGTTTCTAGTGGGGAAGTACGGAAGCCAAACGAGTGGATTTATATAAAAGCCCGCTGCACACCGCGCTGCATGGGGGACCCTGGAAATAAAGCACGTGATTGGGCGACATGGTCGCGCGCGGCTCGCGCTGCCCCAACTCTGCAGGGATTATTAAAGTTACTACCATCTCATTATCGAGGATCTATATAACAAAAATCTCCCGTCCCTCCCTCTCCAGCATATCACCAAGGCAAATCTACGAATAGCTCCGACAGTCGACCAGATCGGAGACTCTTGGCCTCGTTAAAATATGCATCCAATCCGATGGACTGGCATCCAGTAATTGCACCATGCGACGACTCGAGCTTTTGTTGAATCCACGCAACCCAACCGATGAAATCAGCTGCAGGGCCGATGTAACCAAGCGACGCGATCAGCTCCCACAGATTCTTGGAGCACTTGCTCTCCTTCCGGCATGTGTGTTCCCAGATAAGGGACTGTCTCATATCGACCAGCGTGCAGTAGCCTGCATATAACCTCTGCCTGTGTCGCTCCGAGAGCCCTTCGTCAACGTTCCACTTGGTTGGCCCTTTGAGGGCATAACGATAGTACGCCCATCCAAGCACCCGCCTCCACCATCGATTATCCTCCCTCTCCGCGAAGCGAATAGCGCGAGAGAGTTTGATCGACTCGCTGGCTATCGAGGCTAAGACGAGTTCGCATACTGGGGTGCGAAGCGAGGACCTGTTTGACCGGATTGCGTAATCAAGTAGGGGGAGGAAATCGTAGTGTTTTGGATACGTGTATGTCTTTACTCTGCTCAACAGCAATCTCGCGGCCCAATCCTCAGTCTGAGCAAAGCCGTATTCATGGGTTACTGAGGCAATCTTAACGATGAGATCGATATCTGTTGTGGGTAGAGATATATCCATAATCTCGTAGGGGCTAGGATAATAATTAGCAGATGCGTGACGATCAGTAAGGACGGGTGGAAGCTGGGGAAGTCGAGAGCATACAGCGCGTATAAAACCTGCAACAGGATCCGAAACTCGTCCGCTGCTTTTCTACGAATCGTAAACGGGCTTTCGTCGCTACTCCCCTTCAAGTCATCCGAGGTGAGCTCAAGGGGTGGCAGGAAATGTGTGGTCGTGAATATTGACGAGTCTTGTGTCAGAATACCTCGGTGGACCTTCGAGGAAGATGATAACTTAGGCTGGCTCTCAATCAAAACTGGATTGCATGTACCTTGAATAGAACATCCTCCACGAGAATAGTGATATTTCCGTCGGCAAAATAAAACCGAGAGTCCCTCTTATGTTTCTGTGATTTCCCAACGTGAATACCCATCTCAGGAGTGCCTCGTTGACGCTGCCGATGATGTGCGTTTGGGTGCGTAGGGGCACTAGTGGTGGCTAGAGGTGAGTAGAGTTCAACATTGAATATTATTGAACGCCGAGGCGCAAACCCCGAAGTTGTCCAATCTCAATCTTGGCCATTTCCACGATCTACCAGACAATCCTTAAACCCCTTATTTAGCCGCATTTCAAAGCTGCATACTCCCAGGATGGACACTACTTACAGCTAAATGCTGTCCTACCTCACCAAATAGCCAATTTAACGAATGTGCCCTTGAATCAAAGCTGCGCCGCTAGTCGAGACTTCACTCCCAATAGTAGGGGCGGCAGTGGCATACGACGCTCTTCGGGTATTGGAATGGATGGATTAACAATCAGCATACAGCACCAGCCCTGGAAGCCAATCTAGTAGTGCCCTTGCATATTAATAGGAAGAGTTCGTAAACAATTCGTACATATCCAAGCTGTATACCATGGCCATTAGTGTATCCAGACCAACAGTATGGCAAGGCGTTAAGGGAGCTCTCCGCAGCTGGCCTTTTCTAATTACAAAGCCGCTCTGAGCAACATAGTCCACCCAGCCCAAGAGATCGGCCATGGGTCCAGGAAAAGGAGCAATCTCGAGCTGCCTCCGGAAAGATGTAGAGCATGCGCCCTCATCCTCACAGACATGGGCCCAGGTAAAGCTAGATTGCCGCACATCGACAAGCGTGCAATAACCGATGTAGAGATTCCGCTTATGCCTCTTTAGAAGACTCGGATCGCTATTCCACCGGGATGGTCCTTTGAGTGCGTACCGATAGTACGCACCCTCGAGCACCTTGTTCCACCAAATATTTTCCTTCCTTTCTGCGAAATGGATGACCCGGGAGAGGTTGATCGAGCCGCTCTTGGTTGAGCACATGACCAATTTGAAGACACGATCTCGTAGGGAAGACCTGTCGGATAGTATCGCATAGTCAAGTAGGCGCAGAAAATCCTGGTTCTCCCTGTACTGTGCCGCAGAAATCCTGCTGGAGAGCACGTCCGCAGCCCAATTTTCGGTTCGGATATAGCCGTATTTATGCGCTGCCTTGGCGATTAAGACGATGTCATCAATATTGGTTTCAGGGTTGTGGATGGCCACGATTTCGTGAGGTCTATACGCAAATTGGCAGGGGTGAGAGGAGAAATCTGCTGAGGGGAGTAATAAAACATACAGCGCATATAAGACCATGAGCAGCGCTCGAAACGTCTCCGTCGATTCTTGATGCAGAATGAATGGATTTTCGTCACTGCTCCCCTCGGGATTGGGGACAGGAGGCGGGAGCGAGAGTATTGTTGTAAAGATAGATGAGTCTTGCATTAACACTCCTCGATGAACCTCGGAAAGTATAAGTCTTGGTCCAGATCGAATTGAACCGTGTGCAGGTGTGCGTACCTTGAATAGGTTATCATCGACGAGGATGACAACGTTACCATCAGCAAAGTAGAACCTTGAATCTCTTCGAGCTTCCTTGGCCACCAGGTTACTCGTAGAGGCCCCAGCGCCATCTCTTCTCGTCGTCGTCGTTATCGATTCTTCCATGTCCAAGATGGCTGCTTTGACCACGAGCTGGTCATGCGCTCGCCAGAGTTGGTAAGACTCAATTACGTAAGTACTGACACATGTATTCCCAGTAAAATACCGTTACCGAGGGGGTTCAATGCGAGACTATATGAGAACGAGCTGTTTTCGTGCGCAAGGTCAAGCCATGTGGTCAATAGCGTTTGAAAGAAGATGCCTTGAATAGAGAAACTTCAGCTTAGATTGGGTCAGAATAAGAGCTCAAATATTACCGGACATGGGACTTTGGCACCCATCAAGGCGAGGAAGGCGGCCCATAAGGATCTTTGTGACGGCTGCATATGTGAAGCACCGAAAGTTCACCGCCCAATGAAATATTGCGCGAACGATATCGCAAACGCTCCCATACTTAGTCCGTTCAACTGCCACCTTAGGGATACGTGTGCGCGGGCGAGGTGGTATAGAGCAGCAATTATTTACGTATGCTAAAAGAAGCCACCGGACAGCGTGGAATTATATTAGTCAGTAAAGGCGACAGAGCCAATTGACCGATATTGAGTGCCCGCCGGTGAGACTTTGAAAGAAACGAGAGGGCTCCTTTGTTGAGAAAGGGGCCATTTCTTTTATGTCGTCAGGTTGATCTTGTTGATAGAAGAGATACTTAGATGTTAAGGATGCTGTGCGACCGAATCCAGCGGTGGTAGTTTTTCAGCTACACCTAACAAAGCGATTGAAAAATATAAATATATATTTTCCAAGCCCAATGTTAAGGGTGCAAACCGGCGTTAACAAAACGCTGGAGGAGAGAGACAAAATCGTAGGCATGACCATCGATGGGGATGAACGTTGAACGTTGAACCCCAGCAGCCCAGCTGGTGCTGAGTGGCGACTGAAGACCCTTGATCCTGGTTCCCAAACACTGCACTCAACACCACGCGCGACAAACCTCGTAAACCGCTCGACTCGTTATGGTCGCTTGGTGTAGGGGTTATCACGTGTCTTTCACACAGACGAGGCCGCCGGTTCGATTCCGGCAGCGACCAGTCTTTTACTCCAGAGCTCTGCGTACTTTTTTTTTTGCTGTATGTCCACTGTCCAGCAACCCGGTACTCCAGCACTTTTTTACGGACTCGCGCAACGGAACATCAATCAAACTGAAATCACACCGAAAGGAGGCCTTGCGTCCTTTGGACTTTCAGAAAAACTGTGACTGGGGAGAGAAACATTGTCATGATGCATTTGAAACTTTAAACGAGTTTGAGAATATGACTACATAGCACGCATTTGGGTGCGTGAAAGGACTCGTAGTACGTAGGGCCGGATGGATAGCGGTGTTTTGTCGTGACAAAGGATTTAGGAGATTCGCGAGAGGAAGGTGGCAGCTGCTTTTACGAGGATTCGTCGTTATGCCCTCGTAGCCAGTCACAGTAAGTCAGCCCGCGATCTGTCTCGCAGTCTTAAAAGCAGCGTACTGACTGCCTGTTCAATAATAGTCGTATATCCCCGGGCCGTAGTAGTGGTTGCTGTCCTTGTATGCCCCACCCTGAGGCATGGCTCCCCACTGGGTGTCGATGTCATACAGAATGCCGGCCGCCTCGTCCTCGGACAAGTCGTCGTAAGAATCAGAGTAATAAGGGGGACTAAATCCATATGCCTCAGCCAAGTGAATACGCATGACTTGCTATCCGAATTGAAAATTCTCACCTTGTCTTCTTGCGGCGGGCACCTTCTGAGCCATATCCCAATTTCTCTCTATGTGCTCTTCCGCCGAGGTGCGAATCTTTGGAGCCGGATTGCATCGTGATATTACAAACAAAGCATGTCCACTGGCTGGAACTGGAGGACGATGGTCCTTGGGTCGGCCGCGAGTGCGCGCTGGTGCTACCGCCGGCCGGTTGTGTACCACTAGCATTGCCACCCGCCCCTCTCGAATTTCCGCTAGCGTGGCCCGCTTTAGCGAGATGCGCTTTCCCAGCCAAATGGGATTCTTTGGAGTTTGGGTGCATCTTGATGTGACATACAGGGCACGTCCAACGGATAGTCTGAGGCTTGGATGCCTTGATACTTTGTCCGGCTTGTATACTGCACAAAGAATCAGTGCGGCATGCAGATCCCCGAAATCTCGCCGATACTCACCTTTCACTTTCAACCTGGGTGTTTAAGGGGACCAATAGGGCATCATTATTGGCGCCATTTGCCACCAAGTTGGAAGCATGCTGCGCTCCAGCTAAATCCCCAGTCGTGGAATACCTTGAGTTGTGAGCCGACAGGTATCGCAAGTCCACATAGGAGCTATCACCACGTACTTGCGGGGGGCGGAGCTGTTGCCAGAGGCCCGACCGCAGGCCCGCCTGCCGGCAAAGCCTGAGGATAAGCAAGTAGCTTTTCGCGATGTGGCTTCCCACTGAGGTGGGATGCTTTCGAGCCACCTGGCATGCTACGTTGGCACGTCGTGCACGTCCAGCTTGCAACTCTCATCAAGTATTGAATTTCACAGCTGGTGCGATGGATCCTTTGAAGTTGAACGGGGCGAAAGAGAAAGCGAGGTGCGATCATCGTGTGTGACATCCGAGATTGAACGCTTACATAATGCGGTAAGTGCTGAGTTTTAAGTTTCACAAGTTCCATGAATCTGATCCACTATTATATATATCCATCCTCTTCATAACTCGTTGCCGCAGATAGAATCCTAATCGATAATCACTACACGTTCTCGATAGTGGCGTATCTGCGCGAACTTCTTAATCACTATGTCCATCTCTGCCTCTGCCCAGCTTATCTAAGTCTTTATCTCACACCCCTTCCCTCCAGTGACCTTGGTCGTCTGGCAGCGATCGATTCCTTCCCCAAGCCTCATGATTATTCTACTCCCACCTCCGTTTTTTCCTTTCCTCATCCCGCATATCGTGCTGTGTAATCAACAATCTCTATCACACGCCATTGTTTTCTAGTTGTGTGTTTAGGAAGCAAAAACAACTGAGCGCTCATTCCGGCTGGAGGGTCCTTAGGTTGAAACACCTATTCAGTCTGAACAATGTGGAAGACCTGCACTTCAGCGGACGTCCCGTCCAGAAAAATACCTGACAGGCCACGGCGTGTCTCCCTCAGTTCCCTCAGGTATACCCGCAGGCGCCAGCAGCGTACGTAGAGATGTACAATTTGAAAGAGTGGTGTATCATAACGAGCTCCGCAATTTTTGATGGACGTAATTTGCCCCGACGCGCAAATGGGTACGTACCACGGAGCGTACACGCACACAGACACCCCGGGCGAAAATCTGTATGTATGCTCGTCGGGTGAGTCAACCCACTCGCAGGTGTCCCCCATGAACTATGACAGCTTCTTACCAATTTTTCCTCAAAAATAGTCGTCTATCCCCGGGCCTGAATCGTGATCGTGGCCGCTCGGGCTCTCCTCATGCGCCTCACCCTCGGATATGACTGCCAGCGGTATATCAGTCTCCGGAAAAATGGAAGCCGTGTCGTCTGGGGACAATCTGCCGGTGGAATAACGACTACTAAACTCAGAGCCGTACGGGTCAATCGGCCCCCTTGGCGGCACGCCAGCAGGAAATCGAGACGGCACATGGTAATCGCTGGGGGGTCTGCGTTGATCATTCCACAGTGAGAATAATTCGAGCCGTGGCTAAGAAAAACGCTCACGTCGTGTCTTCATCAGTGCGATTGCTGATAGTAGGACCAACACCTCTATCGGCGCTGCTCAGCTGTCTCGCTATGTGCCCTTCCTCAGCAATGTGAGACGATATCAAATCCACGTCCATCGTGACGTGGCAAAATTCGCATGTCCACTGCATAGAGGGAGAGGGAGGGGGAGGGGGAGAGGGCTGTGGACGCGGTTGGGGCTGGGCCATGCTTGGGCCGCCGAGAGGCTGGACATCAAAGCTCCTAATAGGCACTCTGCTAAACACTCCGCCATTGTTCGCCAAAATCGCACCCATCCTTGCTAGGTGGGATCTCCCAGCCTCATGAGCATCTTTGGAAATCAGCTGCATCCCTATGTTGCAGATGGAACACCTCCAGGTGACAGGAGGCGAAGATGCCCTGATCGCTTGTACCTGCGCAGGACTACTAGGCGTTCGATAGTTAGCTTGGCGTTTCCAGTTATTCTAATACTTAGTTGACTTCGAGGCGTACCTCGCGCGCACCAGTGGAGCAGCAGCAAGCCTACTCTTGGCCAGATTCGAAGTATGCTGCTTTCCAACCAAGTGGGCGGCCTTGGAAATCTCCTGCATCGCTATCTGGCACAGGCCGCAATTCCACATCGGCGTGGTGCTTGAAGCTGTAGCGGCCTGAGAGCGAGCACGCCGCTTCGCAATATGGGGTTTCCCATTCTGATGCGCAACTCTCTGGTCTTCTGTCATTTGACGCTGGCACACATCGCACCACCAATTGGCTGGGGTCGGCATCGCGTATCACGAATCTGCGTGAGTGGCTGGGGCAGCGCGATAAATCGCGAGTGGCAACGCGATGCGATAACAGATGGTGGTGGTGAGTTTGCGTCGGCAATAATTCATATTCTCGGCCTTAAGGACTCGCACAAGACCTACTATATATGGACTTAAGAATCGAACTTTCTCCGAGAGAAGAGACACCGCCAGACGCAAGGATATTTGGGACGTGATCGTTCATGTATTGCGTTTGGGACATATTATGATGGGATTTCGTAGTATATATAACAGCCTAGATAACAAAACTCATATATCAACACTACGTATCAACCTTCACTCTGACTTGCCCTTAATACCCCGCCTCTTGGTATACGTCTGCACATAGAAACGAACAAACAAGAGGAGATAGCTTGTGGCAACGGGCGCAGCGAAGGCCGCCGACCTGTACGTAGCGGCGCAGCCTGTCTGGCCGTATGGAAGGGCGGGCCAGATGCGCGAGGCGAACGGGGCGAGGACTAAGTTAACGCGGGGAGAAGCACATCATTAATACACACATCGCATGGACATAGACGGATTCAGAACGCACAAGAAAAATCATTGGAGAGCATGTAACCGACGGCGTAGCATATGAAAGCCAAGTCGACGATGAACTGCCCGATTTGCATTTGCGTGAGGTAGCGCTTCCACTATAATAACGAGTTGCCGTATGCGGAAACAGGTAAGTACGGCGGAGATGTGCAGAGTTGGGAAGGCGAACCCAGATTCTTTGGCCACCAGCGGTAGCCCAATAGTAGTAATCTAATAGTTGCTTGAGATCGAGGGCAATATTTAGGAAATAGTGGCATTGCTTACACATGAAGACGTGAACCGTGAGGTTGATTGTGATAGCGAGCCAAGCCTGTTGTCGCGATGGAACGGAGGTCAGATGATATTAAAAAAGAGAGGTTGGACGTGGCACTTGCGCCGCTGATGTGCTCATGAAGGCCAACCCAGCAGAGGAACGCAGTTGCCGTGTGGTGGTATACGTGCAAGAAGGCTAGCAGTATGTTTGTAAGCACGGCGGCAGGGAAAGGTGCGATGGACAAGACTGACTGAGGGGTTTTTTTCTCAAGGCGATGAAGACTGTGTCTAAAAGTTCGAGGTATTTAAAGTAGTAGTTTATTAAATAGTACAGTTCCATTTTCTGGGGCGTGTCAAATTAAAATGTGGTCAATTTGTTGAGGGAAAGCGCAACGCACCGGTGTCCAGATGCTGCGCCCGCACATCCCGTAGAGGATGCCATGGTTGAGAGTCTTGGGCAGTGCATCCTCGAGCATCAACGCGAGAAGCAAGCCGCTCCCGAGAGTGAGGATGGCGTTGTGCGCGCGGAAAAGAGTGTTTAGTCGGATTGGCTCGCGGTTGCGCATGACTTCACGCAAGGTAAATACTGTAGCGACATAGCCGGCAAGCACGGGGAGAACCACGGGGAGGGTGGAGAGTGGTGTCTTGCCTGCCTGAAACGAGTGGAGGGAAGAGGGAATATACTGGAGAGGCAGCGAGGCAACGAGAAGGTCTGAGAGCGACATCGCGAGGGCGAGGGAGGTGGCAGCTATGAGCCGTCACGAGTGAGCAGACACCCCAGAGACCTAAGTAAGA